TACGTTACGTTACGTTACGTTACGTTACGTTACGTTACGTTACGTTACGTTACGTTACGTTACGTTACGTTACGTACGTTACGTACGTACGTACGTCTACGTTCTCTCTCTCTCTCTCTCTCTCTCTCTCTCTCTCTCTCTCTCTCTCTCTCTCTCTCTCTCTCTCTCTCTCTCTCTCTCTCTCTCTCTCAAAAGAAGCATGCGTAGACACTCATGGCAAACTACTGTAATATTTGTCATTCTTAACATGAGACTCTAGAATTGTTATTGAGGATACAATCAACTTGAACACTAACGCGAAGAACAGCTCACCTTGGAGGAGCTATTGCTGTTTCCACCTGAGAACCAAGACTCAAAAGAAGCTGTAATCATAGACATCATCCTGAGTTATTCTACCAAATGAATAATTACGGTAAGCGAACTCACAAAAGAAATGTGAATATAAGAACAGTGATGTGAATAGATAATAACATACAAGGAGCAGGTCTCGTTCTCTTTTTGCTCTCAGGGGCAATGTTGAGCTTCTTTATGAGGCCAAAGACCTCTCTAGAACCGTCATCATCAGCGGGAGACAGGAAAGTAGTTTGCTCCTGTTTAAAAACAGCAGTTCAAATTATGATCAGATACATAGAAAGTTTGTACAACTAGTCAATCAACAAAGCACTTTACACCCTTCTGGTTTAAAGAAGTTAGATGAGGATAGAATCCGAATATTAAAAATGATTTCATTCTATTCATAATCAGGTAATACACTGATAGCAATGAGTTTATATACAAGGAGAAGCTGGTAAAATCATCAATTTCTTTATGCATTTCTTTACTGAGATTAAACTATGATCAACAAACCAAATGTACTCACAGTTTGCTCAAGCAGCCTCTGTCGCACCATTCTCTGCTCCATTTCTTCATCATCAGAAGAAACAAAAGCATCCTCCTCATCCTTAAAAATTTCATTGATCATCAGTTTTGCCTTCTTCAAACCCTTTCTGGAGGACTTCTTCAGCCCCATATCATCTGCACTGTACCCATCACTACCTTCATAGCCTTCATCCCCAAGAATCTGGTCCAAGTCTCTCTCTCTCTCCAAGTCTTTCTCTTTCCAACCACATTTCAATTTTTGCAAAACATTATCAGTTGCTGCTGCATCCTGCTCTTCAAGCCATTTTTGATGAAGCTGATCCCTCATTTCCCTATCTATTGGCATCTCTTCAGCTGCTGTCGCAATTAAGTCATCAAAGTTCTCATCGTCTTCTTCTCCTTCTTCTTCATCATCATGGTACCTCTCTCGATCATGGTCGCTATCATCTTCCTCTTCAGCTTCAACATCCATAAAGGCTTTTAATGGATCACCTTTTGGGCACAAATCCATATTGGCTGGTTTCTTTGGGTGAGGATCAATGTTTTCCTTGTCATTTTCTTCGTCAGAGAAGCTGAAAAACACACATACGGCAACTTGAGTGCAAGGAACCCAGGGATACGATAATTGGGAAATTTACATCCTGTCACGGTCAGGAACTTATCCTTTTAACAATATTAACAAGGACACAAGTCCCAGATTTCTTGACAAGGCAAAAAAAGAGAGAGAGAGAGAGATTCCAGGAAGGACGCTGAAGACCTTACCCCAGAGAGAGAATTTTTAAGAGCACTAAATAATGAAATTAACAAATATAAAATACACAAGACCAAGATTTCTTAATAGCACACATTCAAATAGTCCCTAAGTGAAGGAGAGAACCAAGGAGGGACCAATAAGTCGAGTAAATAAGACCTCGTTGAAAAGAAACCAAAAAAGGAACCTGTACATTGAAACACAACTTGTTTTCTCGTAAGAGAATCAAGGTCAATTTGAAGTTTTAGTGATTCTTTTTCTCTACGTTAACAAACTGTATACAAAAGACAAACATCAGTCGCTAAAGTTAAATAACTTACACATCCTCAGGGGGAGCTGAATCAAACATTAAGTTCATGGGAAGTAATGACGATGCAGGAGCTGTTTCAGGAGAACTGGTAAGATGCGCAGCATTTTCTTCAATACTATGTTGGGAATCACAAAGAAGATCCTATAACAATGACATTTGCATAATGATCAACCTAGGCATTTCAAAAATGGAGTAAATGCACAGCATATGGATGCCTAAAAAAACCCAAAGGAGTTCGATTAAACCTGGGTGTCATTAATTGGAGGCCGAAATACATTTTCAAAATCCAAGGTTGAAGCCTACATTCAGTGGGGAATATGTTAATTTGATGTACTATTAATATCAAGAATCAATTCAAATAATAAATGTCGAATTTAAACAAAATACTATCAAGAATCAATTCTTAAAAAGGTATATTTAAGAACCTATTATATAATCTGTAAATCTATCCATTCCTTTGGAGTTGAAAAGTTAACAAAGACAATCAATTTCAAGCAAATATCTAGTTAATTTCATAAAAATCCTGAGAAACAAATTCATTCAGTGTGGATTGCATCATATATTCAACAATTTTTGGGAGCAGTATTCAATTACCACATTTGGGAGAACATTCTCTGCCTGATCCTCAAGAGTTTGGGGCCCGGAAGATCCAGCCAATAAAACATCATTGTGGTGACATTGAATATTTTTTATCTCAATAGGCTTGCCATCATCCTGATCCCATGAAGTTACATCATTTAAATTACATGATTAGCAACAAAAACAAATAGCTAACTTAATCTATTAAATGAATATTCCTTTCAAATTCATTGTTGGTTCATGAAGCTCGTTTACATGTCTCTCGTTGAATGTGGCAGCTTGTTGATCAATATTATGATTATCAGAATCCTTATAACCAACATCTTCACAAGCAACATTATGACGATCCTCTGAATCAATGATCTCAACTCCTAACCTGTTCACCATAATAACTTGACAGTGTGAAGGAAAATGTGCATAAATAAACATTGGGATTGTATACTATGAGACTATTTACCATTGTCACAAGGAGGTCACAATCACTCCTAGTCAATAGATGACAAATTGGATGGCTCAGGAGTGGCATGAAGTTCGAGAATTTGGTTTTAAACTTTGAGTGTAGTCAATGACACACTTACAACCACCCGATTTAAAATCTGATGGACACTGGTGATTGTGACCTCCTTGTATAAAAAGTAAAAGGCGTAGTTTGTATAAAGTTGCAACCTTAAATAATCAAACTAAGGGGCACCTCCAAATTTTATCATAAATATATCTTTGGTGTCAAAAATTCTTAGGATGGATTGAGAATCTATTTTCATCTCTAAATATAAAATCTTAAACTACAAAAATGGTTCACGTCAAGTAGATCTATAAACACTTGAAAATCTTGAAAATGGACGGTCCAGAAATTGTGTTGCAAGATACACTATTTTTAAGACCCAAATTTTTTTTTTCTTTCCATATTCATATATCTTGATGTCGTGATGATCAATTAGAGCGTTTTCTAATATCAAAACAACATTTTATGATGGATTTTTGAGGTGCACTTTAATTCTACATTTTAAAGTTGCAACCTTATATAAACTTTGTTCAAAAGTAAATTGTCTCTTTGTATTCTCTCAAATAAAAATGATCAGCCAAGCAAAAATGATATCCGACAATCTAGCTGACCTCCTCTGCACTTCAAGCTTCCTACGACGAATCTTTTCCAAAACAGAGGATATAGGTTTCTTTTCAGCCAATACAGGTTTAAATGACACATCTTTAGTCTCTGGAACAAATTAAGACAAACGAAAAGGCATGTATGGTTTAATAATAAGGTGTTCTACTGTATAGAAGTTGTAAAAGAAACAAACCCAACTCTTTCACATCGCATGGAGACATTAAAATGCAACAGGTGAGATTCAAAAATGTTGATAAAACTATTCTCTAAGGGTTTTAGCATAAATAAGAGCCCTACAAATTCACGTCCTTCGTTATAAATCCCAATATTTTTACATATGATAGCATTATTGATGTTATACAAAATGTAAATTTACCTATTTATATTGGAAGATACAATGCTACTAATGTCGATGTGTTGAAATATGGCTAAGAAGCATTAATCAAATAAATGTTGAAACCTATTTTCAAGTCCCTTTTAAACTATATTGGTAATATATGTAATATTCTAACAAGGACATTACAACTTTTGTGGTTTATTTGTTGTGCAATGTGTTTGTACATTTACTCCTATCTATTCATGTATGTAAGGAACCTGTTTCTCTGTCCCAAACACATTGGTGTATAAAGCAAACATCTATAAGCATCACTTGGATTCTTGGATCTTCTCATGCCCTCCACCATGCTTTCAAATCTCAGACTAAAAGTGTCGTGTTAGAGTTTAACATGAGATTTGACTGTGCTACTCTTGTCACTTCTTTATTGAATCTCATACCATGCTCTACAATTGAATAAAATAAAGAAGGCACGGAGAAAATGTAGCTAAGATAGTTGGGACTATTTCCACCTAGAGAAAGGGAGCAAATGAATGTTAAGGTAAATTAGTCATCTAAAAATCTTTCTAAGCTAGTTAGGACCTGCTTCAAAATTGCTCTGACCAAATTTAGGAAATAGATTATTTTTCTCAGTTTCCAGAGTCAAATAGATATTTCATAAACCATTTCCTAGTCATTTTTCTAGGTTCCCAAATCACATATATATTTCCTAAACATTTGGTTGGAGTAACCATATATATTTTCTGATATCCTCGTTATCATTGTCAATGGTAATTGTATGCTTTCATGAATAGTGTCAACAAGGATGACAATTTGAATTATTTGAATACAGTTCATTGAGTCGAGACAACAATTCATGCACATACAATTAAAACAACAAAATACTTACTGCAACTAGTCTACATTGTAGATAATTGGACCTTCAAATAACTATTCTCCACTTAAATGTTATTTAGTAAAAGGTGTGGTTTGTATAAGGCCAAGGCTCTAAACAATCAGAGTAAAGCACATCTTCAAATAGTATCGCGATATGTAGTTTTAATACTGGAAATAGTAAAAGAAGGAACCCAGCACACCACGAAAAACAGTAAAATCAAAGAAAATACTTGGAAAACCATGGGAAGCCAGTTAGATTGGTGAATAACGCAGATTTATTGAATAATTTTTACTCGTTCAATGTTAGGTTTATGGTATAAATTATGCGCCCATGGCCCCATATAGAACAAAATAATATACGAAAGCATGTTATAATGAACTAAATAACACATGATAGGCAAATAAATATGGAAATTTACGAGCACTTCAAGTAAAATAAATGGTGGATCTTTCATTGACATGTCAAATACCTCTTAACAATCTCTGTGATTCGGCATGAATTTGTTCCAGATGAGCCCTTCTTTCCTGTTAAAAAAAGAATTCCATTTCAAAGCCTTGGTAAAATTTACTACAAAAATATTCCTTTGAGCAGAAAATTTTTACCGAGAGGCTGAGCACACAACCAGATGTTCAAATGGACGTTATAAAGCAAAGGAACAGAAAACAAATCAAAAAAACTGTACTGATCATATTTACCTTTTCGAGTCTCTTCTGGTTTCGTAAAGATGGTTTGGAACCCCTATTACCATCCTTTAACTTCTTCTTCTTATTATTGTTTTCTTTCTTCTTATCACTGATATTATCTTCTCCCGCAAATACAGTATCAGAACCCATAAAATCCATTGAATTTCCAGAACCTGTAGGTTCGTTGACCTTTTTTGGATTATGAGAACCTATAGGATCCATTGATTCTGCAAACCTTGCAGTTTCACTAACCTCCAGCGGATCATCAGAATCCATAGATTCCATCGATTCTCTGAAAACGGTATTTTCACTCAACTTCGATGGACTGTCAGCTATGTTGCGATCAGTGAGAGAAGGTGGAGTGATGGGATCCGGGGTTTTAGATGCAATTGGGGATTTAGATGTAAGCGAATCAAGTTGAGGCAATCGTTTCAGACGCTTGAACTTCCTTCGAGAAACAGGGGATAGTGTTCCAGAGGGTTGAGCTAGATCCTCTAGGTCACTCCCCATTTGAAGCGTTTCAGATAGAGAGAATGACGGAAATAGAGTTCAGAAAACTAGATGAAAAAATATGTAGAGAGAGAATAGAGAATAACAGATGAAGGGAGAGAGAGAGAGATGGACTTTCAGTTGTAGTGATGGAGCAATGTATGAGAGAAAGGAAATTTCACTAGAGAGAGAGTGTTAGAGAGAGAAAGGGAATTTTCAGTAGAGATAGAAAGAGAGGGGAAGAGAAAGAATTCATAAATAGAAAAAGTTCCTCTGAGACTGATTTTGCTAGAGAGAGAGAGAGAGAGAGAGATGAAACGCGAGGGAATTTTGAAAGAGAAGGCGCCAAAGCATTTGATGGTTTCGTAACTTCGAAAATGCACGTGCATTATGGCGCCACAATTTTTGGCGCGTGCCATAGAGTGTTACTTCCCCCTTTGATTGGTCCAAATTTCAACTCAAAGAAAGTCTTTGTACGAAATTACTAACATCGTTTGGTATGAATAAAAATACTCGTATGAAGATATTTTTACGCAAAAGAACTCTTTCCTATAATTAGACATGGGAGTTTTTTTCACACTAATTGGTCCAAATACATATTTTATACCAATTGACAGCCAAATGATGAAGATATTTTTACGCAAAAGAACTCTTTCCTATAATTAGACATGGGAGTTTTTTTCACACTAATTGGTCCAAATACATATTTTATACTAATTGACAGCCAAATGATGTGAAAACTCTTTCAAACCTAATCACTTGATAAAGTTTTTTCGCATGACAATGTTTTGATGGAGGTATTTCTCACCTGTACCAAGCATGCCCCATGCCCTAAGGTATTTTGCCTCCTTTTGTGCTTGGATGGCCTTGCAACTCCGGCAATGAATTCAGAAGGGGAAAATATTTTTTTCTTAAGAAATTATTAGAATATCCATTTAATTTTTCAATATAACATATTTACCAAGATCTCCACTTACACACGTACCCATTGTTTTCCTCTTTTTTGTTATTTCTTAATTGCCCTCGCTACGGTTTGTTACATCCGTAGCAATACTCTCAGGCCAAGGCACGGCCATGAACCCAGGCACCACTATAGATCTATTAGACCTATGGCAATTCGCTTCAAACCTAACAATGTCTGTGGTGGTGCCTAGTTCTAGACCTCTAGGGAGATATTTGGTGCGTCAACCACCCGGTGGTGGTACTGTTTTGGATAACTCTCTAATTGATCATCTCATCTTCAAGGTGTATGGATATTAAAAAATACAATTGTTTAAAGTCTTAACAATATAGCACTTTGTAATATATTATTTGGACGATCCATTTTTATCATTTTAAAAGTGTTTGTAGATATTATTGGTTTGCAACATTTTTAGAAACTTCTTAAGGAGTGGAAACATAATTTCAAGCCAGTGTAAAAAAATTTGATACAAAAATTACATCTTTAGGGCGCCCCTTAGTTTGATTATTTGTGATGGGTGCCTCCTATAAACCGTGCCCTAAATTTCCCATTTTTCAATAGAAGACTTGCACATAAAAATCAATTGTAAACTTTTTATGGACACGGTTTTTATGCAGCCAGCCCGCATAGTATAGAAATACGGGCTTGGCAATAAAATTGTTTGTTAAATATAATTTTATCCTAATTTTTAGAGTGTATATAATCTTTAACATGTAGATCATAAATATGAAAAAAAAAATTGAAAACTAAAAATAATAAGGGGAAATATTCTCGTACCTCTTATTTTTTATTTTCATATCTTAATAGATGCAAATATTCAAAATATATCTCCTAACCTTTGACTAACTTAATCAACTTTTAACTGTTTTTTTAGTCTTAACAAATATAAAAAAGATATGCTCATTCATCTCTTTACGTGATTTATTCCCCCAAATTTCTCTCTCTAACATTCACCCTCTTTGTCTCTCTAATGGGAGAGAGAGTGTGTGAAAGATACGGGAGAGAGAATGGGAAAATAGAGAGAGAGTGAGAAAATAGGTAGAGTGAGATTTAGGGAAAAATCACATGAAGAGATTGAAATGATGATGTTTAAAAATGATATGTCTCGCTTATATTTGTTTGGGGCAAAAAAATAGGTTGAAATAGGATAAAATTAGCTTAAGGGGTTAAAAATATAAAATCTTGAATTTTTATGACTCAATATATGTTTTGAAACATTGGGTCCGTTGAGATATAAAACTTAAAAATGAAGGGTATAGAGATATTTTTCCAAATAATAATTATATCAATAAAACCTTTGGACAGTTAGTTACAATGGTTTTTATATGGACTACCTATTTCCATCCATCTTTAAGATGGATGCTTTATACCCCTAGACTGCATATTGTATAAATGTGGTCCAGCCCACATGATACAATTTGCCACTTTTTATTGAGTATCTTGGTTTCTTCTTTTCGCATTTTTCATTGATACATTTTTTTAAAAAACTTATGAGGAAATATGAACATAAGTTTTTTTAGAGTT